GGGCAGAAGACGACCACGGGTGAGTACGTTTGTCTGTCTGTCTGTTTGTCTGTTCGTCTGTTTGTTTGTTTGTCTTAGGGAGGACAGAAGACGACCACGGGTGAGTATATTTGTCTGTCTGTCTGTTTGTCTGTTCGTCTGTTTGTCTGTCTGTTTGTTTGTCGGGGGGAGGCAGAAGACGACCACAGGTGAGTACATTTGTCTGTCTGTCTGTTTGTTTGTTCGTGTGCTTGTCTGACTGTCTGTTTGTCGGGGGGTGTGCAGAAGACGACAACTGGTGAGTACGTTAGTCTGGCAGTCTGCTTGTTTGTTTGTTTGTTTGTTTGTTTGTTTGTTTGTCTGTTTGTTTGTCTGTCTATCTTTCTGTCTATATGTCTGTCTGTCTGTCTGTCTGTCGCAGGAGGGCAAAAGACGACTCCTGGTGAGTACATTTGCCTGTCTGTCTGTATGTATATATGTTTGTCTGTCTGTATGTTTGCATCTCTGTCTGTTTTTTTTTCTTTGTATGTGTGTATTTTGTCTATCTGTGGGTCTCTCGAGGGATGCAAGAGGACGACTGCAGATGAGTACATTTGTCTGTCGGTATGTTTGTTTGTATGTTTTTCTGTATGTCTCGCTGTCTGTCTGTCTGTCCAGTCCGTTTATCTCTATCTATCTATCTATCTATCTATCTATCTATCTTTCTATCTATCTATCTATCTATCTATCTATCTATCTATCTATCTATCTATCTATCTGTTTGTCTATCTCTCTATCATCTATCTATCTGTCTGTCTGTCTGTCTATCCATCTGTTAATCTATCTATCTATCTATCAATCTATATATCTCTCCTTGGGCTTAATGGCTACACTCTACATACAACGATATAACAATATATTTGCACCGACAGCAAAATATACGATCTCTAGTTATCTGTATCGACCTTTACAGTTGTTTATTATTCCATGTCTACTAAACAGCATAATGTACAACGTGCACAATATAGGCCCCTAAGTGGCGCACAACTTAAAGGAAGTAGCTGTTATGTAGGTCTTAGAATCCAGCAGATAATGTGGGTCTTATGATCTGGGCAGTTATAGTGAGTCTTGGGAGTAAGCCGTTAACCATTCCAGCCCCAGCCATTTTTGTGCACTCCCTAACCTAAGTCCCAGCCAATACAGCAGTATTTCAGATAAAGAGGCATGCGTTCTAAAAAAGTGATGTCGTATCTTTGTAATAAGGTTTAGATAATAACATATGACAATGTTTAAAAGGTAAATGAAAAAATATTATGTAAATTAAAGTTTAATTAGGTTCGCTAATTGTTAAAACTGCGCAAATTCTGTACCCCCCGAAACTGAGAATATACGCTCTTGGGACAGTGGGGGGTACAAGCGCTGCTGAAAATATACGCGCATGGGGCTAGAAGCGTTAAAGTGTGATATGTTTTGTTTTGTTTTGCAGGGAACAGAATAGTTGGGGTGTCCGAAGAGATGGAATGAATTTTCCTAATGCGAGCGATAGTTTATGTATCTATATATAATGTAATTATAATGGAAGAAGAAGAAGAAGAAGAAGAAGAAGAAGAAGAAGAAGAAGAAGAAGAAGAATGAAGAAGAAGAAGACGAAGAAGAAAGAAGAACATCGTACTAGTCATGCTAGTCACGAGCGCAACTAATCTCCACATAGTCGGACAATCGGCTTGCAGTATCACACACAGACAGATAGCAGAGCAAATGAAGGGAAAACTTCACGGGAACAGTCATTTATAATTCATGTGCACATGTATATCCATCACAGAAATACATTTCCTTAATTCTTTACATTATATGTGAGGCGGCGTGGTGGAATCAGGCGCTCATCAAAATAAGGAAAGTAAAGGGACAGGCATTTTTCCGCAGATTTTTTAATTTTAATCGAATTATTGTTCTTTACTCAACACCTTTCATGTCAATTGAAGAGTACATTTCTGCGTGGATTTTACTGAAAAATGTTGATTAAAGGCACAAAAACTGCAAATATTAAGTTTCTGGGGACTCTCAAGCTAAGGAAATAACCAAAATGGATATTCTTTCATCGGCCGGAAGCAAGACAAATAAACAAGCTTTAAAAGGATACCAATAACTCCACATGCCCAAATATTGACGAGCGCCTGATTCCACCGCGTCATGATACATTTATGTGCACATTTTTTCCCTACACAGACACACATTTCCTGAATTCTCTACATTACATCTATTTTTCTAAAACTATTTATTAATTTTATAGTTTTTGATACTTATCCTCCTGTGTATATTTCCCTGTATTTATACTTTATTATACATATTATATGTGTCAGTTTATGTGCTCTTGTGAGTGAAAGGGGGTTCTCGTGGCCTTAAAGGTCAAGGTGTTCGCCTCTTATTCAATAAGGTCCCGAATTCGAATCCGGATAGCGACGGACAATTGCCTTCTCTAAAATGTTGCCTTTTCACATTTTTATTATACTATTATTATCTTTATTATTATTATTATTTGGGGAGGGGGGATTTTTGGAGGGGGGGCGGTGGTGTGTGCGTGGGTATTGTTGTTGTTGTTGTTGTTGCTGTTGTTTTTATTTTTGTTTTTGTGTTGTTTTTGTCATGGAGGGATGCGTTTGCTTTTGTTGTTGTTTTTTGGGGGGTCTTTTGGGGGGAGGGGGGGGAGTTTTGTCGGGTTGTTGGGTTTTTTTGTATATTACAAATATTCGGCATGAGATCTAGACACGGGACAAAGCAAAAATATGTTTGGTTGTTTGCTTGTTTCAGATTACCTGGTGGGCGGTCGGAAGATGACCTTTCTGCCCGTGGCTATCTCCCTGATGGTCAGTTTTGAGTCGTCCATCATGATGTTGGGACTGCCGGCTGAGATATACTGTTACGGGATGGAGTGGATGTGGTACACTGTGGGAGTCTTTGTGGCACAGGTGGGTGGAGAGAGAGAGAGAGAGAGAG